TCTACAGCTAAGATGCTGAACAACAGCTCAACCTGGAGCTGGGCTGCCGTGAGTCGCCGGTGGCGTAGGCTGCAGTGGGGCTGGTCGGCAGCTGGCGAGAGCCGCTGTCTAATGGCTGGCGAGTGACTGCCTCACCCAGAAAGAGCACAATGATAATATAATACCAACATGGGCCAGCAAAGCAACGTCCTCCACAACTAGACTGAAGAACAAAAGGACAGCAACTTGTCTGTTCCCTTCCCCCGATTCTCCAATAAAATCTTTTTAAAAATAAATAAATAAAAATTAGTTTTATCACCAACATGTCGTTGGAGAGAACGCTTTAGATCTGGAGCCAAAAGTTTGGTTTTGACTTACTAAATCCTTCACCTTGGAATTATTCAGACTCAGTGTCAGCCAACACGGGACAACCAGAGGCCTCCCCTTGATGGCCCAAAGTCACACAAGCTAATGGGGGCAAAGATGGGGTTCAACCCCAAGATAAGCGCCAAAGCTCATTTTAAACCACTCAACAAATAACTATACTAGTCTTTCAGAGGTGAATGTAAAGTGATGGCAGTGGCTCAGTGAGTGAGCGGCGAGCTAGGATTCCACCTCAGGCCTTTCCGTGTTCAACTGCTGCTTTCAGCGACGGGGAGCCTTCAGATATGGTCTCGGGAGTAGGACGGGCTGAGCAGCACCTCCCTGGGCAAGAACCCTATCACACCAGACTTGAGAAGGGAGGCGCTAAGATTGCAAAGGAAGACAGGAGGGGACACCGCAGAGTCAGCCAAAATGTGGCTCCTGGAGTCCGAGTCATCTCTGAGTCCCAGTGCCTAGCACAAGCTCGGACACAAGACTCTCGGTGAGAGTTGACTGAATCAATCCATTCAGGGGAAGAACGAATGAATGAAACTCCAGAGCCCGCCACAGGGGCCTACAGAGGCTCCACAAGCCGCTGGCCAATCAACGCCTTCGCTTGCAGGCCCCGCCCCCAGGGTCCCTCCGGTTGCGCGGAAATCCCGGAACAGCGGATTTCCGAGGCGGCCTCGGTGAGAGTGCGCATACTCTAGACTTGGCCACGGCGGGGCGTCCTTTTCCCGCGGCGCCCAAGGGGCGGATTTGAAAATGATAGGTTGGGAGACGAAGCTGAGCTCCACCTGCCTCCCCCCACCAGCTCCTCCCGCGGAACTGAAGATTCACTTTGGTTAATATCCCCGCCACGGCGCCCCTACAAGACTAGGGCGCTGGACCCAATCGGAACCCCTTCACAGAGTGAGACAACAGCGAGCGAACGGAAGTGACGCACGAGAGCGAGCGGAAAGGCTGAGGCCCCGCGCTTGTTGCCCTGGAAACCGAGCCTCTTGCCTGCGTCCCGCGTGCGTCAGCGGCCGCGAGGTCTCTGGCGCGGGGATGGTGCGCGCCGGCGGCGTTGTAGCCGCGAGGTCACGCTACGGGGGGGCAGGGAGCTTAGGGCCCGCCCTGTGTGCTGTCATTTATTCAGCCCACAAGTGTGTACCAGACACCGGCCGCGTGCCACGCGTTGTGGACGCCGGCAAGCGGGGAGAGAATTAGACCTGCTCAGATCTCTTCCAGCCCACTGGTCGCCCTCCTTAGAAGCCGTATCCCACCTACTCATCTACTCAATTTTCAAGCCCCAGCCTCCCGATCTCAAAGCAAACCCACTGCTCTTTTCTCATTGTTCCCTAAGCCATGCCCTTCCACGCTTCCTTGTCTTCCCTAGCACGTTCCTGCTCCTTGACGTTACCCTGAAATAAGCACCCCTTTCAGTCTTCCCAGGCAGCTGTTGATCTGTGATAGAAGTGTGGGAGGTTGATGGTCTTTCTTCTTTTTACTCTTCTATATATCCTTATCCTTTAAAAAGCATGCATGCACTGATTGCATAATGAAAAATAAATCATTTTTTAAGAGACCAGTTCTTTGTCCTCAAAGAGCTTGTTCCTTTTGGAAACACTTTTTTGGGGTTAACTCTTTTGTATATGATTTCAGACATAGAACACTGGCACGAGTTGTAAAAAGTTGTAAAAAGAACTCCCATACACCCTTTATCCATATTCACCAATTATTTTCATTTTTGCCTCATTTGTTTTATATATATCCCAATTATATACTTTATTGTTATTTTCCTCCCATCCAGGGTCACAGGTTGTCATTTGTTGTTATATTGTTTTTTAGTATTCTTTTATTTGGAACAGTTAGTTTCTCAGTCTTTTTTCTTCCAGGGCTTTCATATTTTGAAAAAATATGGGCCAGCTATTTTGTAGAATGTTCCTCAGTCTGAGTTTATCTAATGTTTTCTCAATATTAGATTCCCATTATGTATTTTTCTGCAAAACACCACAGAAGTGATGTGAGTCCTCAGAGCATTATCTTAGGAGGCACATGATGTTGGTTTGTCCCATTGTCCGTGATGTTAACTTTGACCACTTATAGCTAACGTGCAGTCGGCCAGATTTCTCCGCTGTAAAGTTACTGTTTTTCCCATTGCAATTGATAAGTTTTTTAAAGATACTTTGAGATTACATAAATAGCCCGTTCATCAAACTTTCACCAAGGAATTTAACATCCACAGATTCTCACAAGAATGATTACCAAAGAGCATCATCATGACTGTCATTTACTATTTACATTTGAAGCGATGCACGTGCACTGTGACATTTTCTGGGAAATAACGTGTACACTCAGCAGATAATAGGTGATCAGTACATATCATTTGCTATGTTAGGTTTCCTTCCTTTATAGATTAATAACGAGGTTCCCTGTTTTATGGAAAATAATCAGAAGCACCTGATTAATTTGCCATCCAGATTATTGTTTTTCCTGCTAGCATCTACCTCAGTGCCTGTCACCTATTAGCAATAAGTTTCTTGAATTAACAAAGGAAAACACACACACACCAAGAAACTATGTTAAATAGGCTGGAAAATTATAAATGTTAGCAACTAATACTTAAGAGTTCTCATCAGGGCCGGCCGAGTGGCTCAGTTGGTTAAGAGCTCGCTCAAGAGTTTGAGCTCTGAGCAACAGCGGTTCAAGTCCCGGCCTGAGCTGAGCAGCCGCTGAGCTGCCAACAGGTGGCAGGATGGCTCAGCTAANGGAGGCAGCGGCCCGGGTCCCCCTCCGCCGGGCACACGCTGGCCGGCGCCCGCCGCGCCGGGACTCGCGGCCCGCCCTCCCGCGGCCGCCGGCTCCGCTGCGCAGGACCCCACCCCCGATCTTGCACTTACGCAGCCGGTGGCCCCGGTCCCGGAATAGGAGCCGACGGGCGGGCCGGCGGCGGGGCGGAGCAGCTCGGGAGGCCGCCGGGGGCTCGGAGCTGGAGCTTCCGACTGGCGGCGGAGCCGGCACCGCTCCTGCGCATGCGCAGGTCCAGTCCGGGCCGGCGATCCGCTCCGGATTTTGAGAGAGATGCCCGAGGCGGCGCGAGGGAGGGGAGAGGGGGAGAGCCAGAGGGGTGGGGAGGGGAGGATGGAGGGAGAAGGCCGGGAAGAGGAAGGAAGGGGGGCAGAAAAGAGAGGCGGAAGGGAGACAAAGAGAGGAGGGAGAAGGGGGCATGCGTAACCCAACACCGGGGGTTCACCCTTTGGAGTGTCTGAGCCAAAGGAACACCGTCTCGGTTAAAGAAAAAGCTTCTATTTTCACTTGTGACAAGTGAAGGAGGCGAGGGAATCATTTCCAAAGCTCCGCCTCCCTGCAGGGAGGCTTAGCCGTTGCTTATAGATGCTGTTTGGTTCATTACAGTTGATTTCTTCTTTGCAGTTGGATAAGGATTTGGTTAACTACACGTTGGTTTCCTTTTTTGCAGTAGGCTAAACTTACGTTGTGGTTCCCAGTCAAGCTCATCTGCATAATAGTGTGCTACGTTTTAGCATTTAGCAAGAAGAACGTTTAGTAAGAGCCTGGGCGCCCAGACCATGAGATCCTCGTCCTATCAGACTGATGGAGAGAGGAGGAGGAAGGGGAAATGAGGGAGGTGGACTAGCAGAGACGCCGGGGAAACTTGCGCTCCAGGGGCGGGCCAACCGGAAGGAGGGGCCTCCAGCCCGCAACTTTCTCTGCCCTTAAGGCGCGCGGTTCAAATTTCACCCCCTTGCTGGAGCCCTCTGACCAAGCCCCTGCGGACCCCCTACGGGATCACACACACCCCCCCCCGCGCCAAGCCCGGCTTGGAGTCCTTCCAGGGACTGAGCACCTACAATAGTTGTCGCCAACGCTCGAAGGCATATCTAAGCCCCCCTTTTACAGGTTGGGGAACTGAGGCACGCACGGTCGTGGCACAGTCGTAGGCGCTGGGCAGGGGCGTGAGGCAGCTGGTCGGAACCCAGCCCGGAAGCGGACTGCCCGAGTACTGGTTCTCGGTCCCCGTCGCTGGTGGGTAAAACCACTCCCCATTTTGGGGCTTCAACCATCGATCCACATCAAGGACTGGGAACGGGGCCTTGGATATGGGACTGCTGTCCTTAGGTCCAAGACCAAGGCGCCCAGCTTGCTAGGTAGGGGCGGAAGCCACTTAAGGACTTAAACCCCTCTGTGTTAAAAATAAACAAAACTTTAAAAGGAATTTGCATACGTACGTTGGAGTGTGCATAGCATATTTGGAAAGACGCACAGGAATTGTAAACAGTGGCGTCCAGGGCAGGCTGAGAGAGCAGAGGACCAGAAGACCCTCTTTCCCTTGTGTCTTTTTGTGTCCTGTTTGGATTTTTTACCATATACATGTATTTCTTTTTCAATTTAAAAATATAATGGAGGACAACAATGATTATCTCAGAGAATACAGCAGCCATGGGAAAACTATCTGAGCCATCGCTTTTGCTTTAAGCCAGCAAGCACTTACTGACTCTCGGCGATGTACCCAGTGCTATTTAATGATTTACTTTATTATTCATATGTTTTATAAAATAATAATAGGCTGTCTCTCATCCCTGACCAGAGCCAGTAGAAAATCAATTGAGTTTTTATTGAATTGTTTTCCAAGGAATAGGAATGAGTGATAAACAGAACACAGAATCAGGACAAAACAGGTCTCCTGTTTGGGATTTCCAGTGTGCCAGACAGCCAGCAGGGGTTTTCAACAGAGATGCCCAAGAGCTGAAGGGAGGTGCCTCCAGGACCCCACAAAAAGCTTCCCCAAATGGCTGCTCGATATTGTAAAGACTGTCCTCTATAACTAGAGGACAGAAAACAGACATTGAAAGAGGCCACCCTGGAGAGCACCTTTCTGTTTACTAGATGGGATGCTGCCTGGCTCATGAATCATTGAACACAGCCAATTAGATCTTTAAAAAAAAGAGGCCACCCTTTCTGGAGGTCCGTGTGCCGGGAATAGCCCTCCATGTTTAGCTCACATATCTCCATTAAGACCCATGCACATAGCTATTCTTAGCGCTGAGGTCCAGGAAGGACACCACTTGGCTGGGGGCGCACAAGTGGCTGGTGCTATTTAGGGATTCAGATCTGGGGCTCTCTGACTCCATTGCTTATGCTCTTCCCATAGTCCTTCTTTGTTCTTATTCTCTCCATAAATGGATAAGACAAGCAATTTGGAAACAAGATTGAAAGCTGGCAAAGGAAACATTGCTATTTTTGTACAGTGTGTCTCCGTTTACAATGTACTCACTTATATGCATTTATTGTATTGCCCCAGAAAATCTGGGAAGGGGGGGGCTAATCTGCATTTTACCTCTGAGAAAACTGAAGCTCAGAGAACGAAAGGGCTTGCCAAGGTCCCACAGCCATCAAACAGGGGTGTCCAGACTAGTCCCAGGGCTGTCTTGCTCCTGGGGTTGTGTTCCCATTAGAGCTTTAACATTTCCTGAATGTTGAGAATTCAAAGAATATACCAAACCTGCTCCCAAAGTGCAGGTCGGAACACCCACTCCATCACTCACTAACGACATAACCTCAACGTCTGCATCTATAAAATGGGGATAATCGCTTTACGGGGCTGTCATTGGGATGAAATAAAATCAAGTATGGGAGGGCACTTTGAGACAGAGGGACAGACGTAACTTCCGTCTCAATCCTGCCGCGTGCTTACGTGGACAGCTCTGGGATAGGGCGACCATCCATCTTGATTTGGCTGGGACACTCCCAGTTTGTGCCTGCTGTCCTGTGATTGCTCTCCACACCCCTAGTTCCCAAGCCAAGAGGGAAGAGATTCATTTATTTAACCATATTCATTTAGCACCACTAAGAACCAGCCACTTGAGCAGGACTTTCATATCTATTTCCTCAAAATAATACAACCTGGCAGCTAATGTGCAAATGTGATGGGCAAACATTTCTCATATAATCCTCACAATGACCCGCTAAGGTATGTTGTTCTAATGTGAGGGGACGAAGCGATAACACTTCCTGAGTGTGGGACAGTTGAGAAATAAGATACAGGAATCGGACAATGGAAAATTAAAAGTCAGTTTGGGGCTGACCAAGTGGCGCTTTGGTTAAGAGCTGGCTTGGTAGGGCCAGTGGCTCAGTTGGTTAAGAGCTCGCTCAAGAGTTTGAGCTCTGAGCAACAGCGGTTCGATGCCAGCCTGAGCTGAGCAGCCGCTAAGCTGCCAATAG